GACAGAAGAACTTTGAAGCCAGGGGATTCCTCCAGCAAATAAACTGCATGTCTTCACAACATATGCAGAGTGACCCCAGAAATAATTGCATTCTGTCCCCTACAACATGTAGCATCTTGTTTTTGGTTTCTTTTTTCTTTTTTTTTTTTTTTTTTTTTTGAGACGCAGTTTCACTCGTTACCCAGGCTGGAGTGCAATGGCGCGATCTTGGCTCACCGCAACCGCAACCGCAACCTCCTGGGTTCAGGCAATTCTCCTGCCTCAGCCTCCCGAGTAGCTGGGATTACAGGCACCTGCCACCACGCCCAGCTAATTTTTTGTATTTTTAGTAGAGACGGGGTTTCACCATGTTGACCAGGATGGTCTCGATCTCTTGACCTCGTGATCCACCCACCTCAGCCTCCCAAAGTGCTGGGATTACAGGCGTGAGCCACCGTGCCCGGCGTTTTTGGTTTCTTAACCACAAATCTTCCAACCATTCCACAGCTTTACTGCCTAGAACCAGTAAGTGAAATGGGTGGATGGGGTTCAAAACTGCCTCCTCTCACTTACTACCTACAAGACAGTGAACAAATTAGTATCAGTGAATCTTTGTTTCCCTGTCAATAAAATGGGAGAATTAACTCCAAAAACTCACATGGTTGTTCTAAGGATTAAAACAGTGCTATTGGGCCAGGCCAATCGTGGTAGCTCACACTTGTAATCCCAACACTAGGGGAGGCCGAGGTGGATGGATCACCTGAGGTTGAGAGTTCAAGACCAGGCTGATCAACATGGAGAAACCCCGTCTCTACTAAAAATACAAGATTACCCAGGCGTGGTGGCCCACGCCTATAATCTCAGCTACTACTCTTTTTTTTTTTTTTTGAAACGGAGTTTCGCCCTTGTTACCCAGGCTGGAGTGCAATGGCACGATCTCGGCTCACCGCAACCTCCGCCTCCTGGGCTCAGGCAATTCTCCTGCCTCAGCCTCCTGAGTAGCTGGGATTACAGGCACGTGCCACCATGCCCAGCTAATTTTTTGCACTTTTAGTAGAGACGGGGTTTCACCATGTTGACCAGGATGGTCTCGATCACTCGACCTCGTGATCCACCCGCCTCGGCCTCCCAAAGTGCTGGGATTACAGGCTTGAGCCACCGCGCCCGGCTCAGCTACTACTCTACAGGCTGAGGCAAGAGAATCGCTTGAACCCGGGAGGCAGAGGTTGCAATGAGCCAAGATCACACCGCTGCACTCCAGCCTGGGCAACAAGAGTGAAACTCTGTCTCAAAAACAAACAAACAAACAAAACAGCACTGTGTATCTCAAGTATCCAGCAGACAGCCTGACCCATTACATATTCATTTCTTCTTCCTTTAACGACCCACCAACTTTAGCGCTCAGGCTGCCATCCCCCAGCCTCCGGTTATATTTCAGGAAGCTCCTCCATCTCTTTGGGCTTCTCAAAATGTTGCCAAACTTCAGGATTCCCATCTTGACATTGCTACTCCTGAAAATGCAGATTATATACAAGAGCATTTATACAAATGCACAGCACTCCGATACACAATTTGAATCCAAACTCTTGTCACTGTCTAAGAAATACATTGGCTGGGCGAGGTGCCTCATGCCTGTAATCCCAGCACTCTGGGACACGAGGCGGGCAGACCACCTGAAGTTGGGAGTTTGGGACTAGCCTGACCAACATGGAGAAACCCCATCTCTACTAAAAATACAAAATTATCTGGGCGTGGTGGTGCATGCTTGTAATCCCAGTTACTCGGGAGGCTGAGGCAGGAGAATCGCTTGAACCCAGGAGGCAAAGGCTGCAGCGAGCTGAGATCGCGCCATTGCACTCCAGCCTGAGCAACAAGAACAAAACTCCACCTAAAAAATAAAATAAAATGCATAAAATAAATAAATAAAATAGATCCATTCCAGGTTAAGCATGGTGGCTCCCACCTGTAATCCCAGCACTTGAGGAGGCCAAGGCAGGCAGATCACCTGAGGTCAGGAATTCAAGACCAGCCTGACCAACATGGTGAAACTCTGTCTCTACTAAAAATACAAAGATTAGCCAGGCATGGTAGCGGGTGCCTGTAATCCCAGCTACTTGGGAAGATGAGGCAGGAGAATTGCTTTGAACTCAGGAGGCAGAGGTTGCAGTGAGCCAAAACAATGCCATTGCACTCCAGCTTGGGTAACAAGAGCAAAACTCCGTCTCAAAAGAAACAAAAAGATGGCCGGGCACAGTGGCTCACGCCTGTAATCCCGGCACTTTGGGAGGCCGAGGCGGGTGGATCACAAGGTCAAGAGATCGAGACCATCTTGGTCAACATGGTGAAACCCCATCTCTAATAAAATATGAAAATTAGCTGGGCATGGTGGCGCACGCTGTAGTCCCAGCTACTCGGGAGGCTGAGGTAGGAGAATTACTTGAACCCAGGAGGCGGAGGTTGCAGTGAGCCGAGATTGTGCCACTGTACTCCAGCCTGGCACCTGGCGACAGAGTGAGACTCTGTCTCAAAAAAAAAAAAAAAAAAACGAAACAAAAAGATTAGTTTCAAAGTTGGCAAGCTCTAAAAGGGGTGTGATGCTCCATTCTAACACTACCCAGAAAACTTATTTTTATTTTCTTATTTTCCTCCTGTGTAGCCTGGTTTTGGAGAAAACTTACTTTTAAATAAAATTATCTGCACCACTCCTTCTGGGTCTCCACATGAACGGCTCATATTTCTATGATGCTAATGATCACTTTTGAACAAGATTTGAATTTTTTCTCATGCACTGACTCAGAAGTTCTCCAGTCTGACTGCATATTAAAATCATCAGGGGAGCTTAGAAAAAAATATTTATATAGATTCCCAAGTCCCACCCTAAATTCTTATTTTAAAGGTCTAGAATGGATCAGAAATGGGTACTTAAGTTTCCCTGGTGATTCTAATGCACAGCCAGGGTCAGGACACTCACACACCTGCTGGGCAGGTAATCTTTCATTCATCCTGGAATCCCCATCACCTGGAGTGGCTCCTGCACATAGTAGGCTTCTCATAATTGCTCATGGCACGAATTAATAACCACCTGATTTTACAATCCACTCATCATGTTAATTCATTACAATATTTAATGATGGTGTAGGATGCACCAGGCACTCTTCCAGACATACAGTTCAAGTCAATTGTCATTATTAAAATGCAAAAGGGCCAGGTGTCCTGGCTGACGTTTGCAATCCTAGCACTTTGGGAGGCTGAGGCAGGCGGATCACCTGAGGTGAGGAGTTTGAAACCAGCCTGGTCAATATGGTGAAACCCCATCTCTACTAAAAATACAAAAATTAGCTGGGTGTGGTGGTAGGTGCCCGTAATCCCAGCTACTCAGGAGGCTGAGGGAGGAGACTCGCCTCAACCTGGGAGGGGGAGGTTGCAGTGAGCCGAGATCATGCCATTGCACTCCAGCACAAGGCTCTGTCTCAAAAAAACCGAAAACGAAAACAAAAACAAAACCGCAAGAGGCTGAGGCGGGAGAGTTCTCTGAGGCCAAGAGTTCGAGACCAGTCTGAGCAACATAGCAAGACCTTCCCCTCCCATGCCCCCGTTTAAAAAAATAAACGCAGAACAGAGAAGGAAGGGGTAAGGGTCACACAATCCGGAGTTCCATCTCCATTCTGCAGAGTCTTCCCTGCAGTCCTTAACCTCCCTAAGCGCCAGTTTCCTCCGCGTAACCTCAGCGAGGCCTCCTCTTCGGAGGATTCTGGAAGCCAGGGACAAAGACCCCACAAAATGGCCGCCGGCACCATTCTTTTTTTTTTTTTTTTTTTTTTTTAATTCCACTGACACCTGATGAAGCCACCCGTGGGGTTCACCCCACCCGCTGCGTCTCTCCTGTCCCAAGCAACTGACGCAGCCACAAGCGGCCGCCACCGGGAAGTGCCCAGGGAGGCCGGGACGCCCGAGGAAGGGCGGAGCAGATAGGACGCCGGCCCCGCCCGGCCGCGCTCAGCCTCCCGCGGGCTCCAGCCTCACCTGCGCCGACTGTGGAAATGCACATTCCCCAGACCCCACCCCCCCAGAACTCTGATTGGCGGGTCTAGGCGGGGCCAGGGAATCCGCATTTGCACCAGCGCCCACCCCCATCCTTCCCACCCCCGCCCCTCACGCCCAGCTAGGTCTAAGGCAAGCAATGCGAGAGCCCCGCAAACCTCCACAGGTCACGCTGCCATCCTCCGAACAGGAAGACGGCTAGGCGCAAAATACCAACCCATGCCCTCTCCCCACCTGCCGGAAAACTCTCCCCTCTTCCGCACCTAGGCTGCCCTGGGGGTCTCCTGCTGCCGGAAGGGCACAGCAGGTGGCATCCCCTGTCCCAGCTGTGGGAATCCTCCCCCCAAATTGTGGGAGGAGAACACAAGGGGTAGGGGTAGTGTCACCAAGAGGCCAGGAAGAAGCCCTCCCACCCTCCTGCGGCCGCTGCTTCGGATCCACCCTAGGCGGAGGAGGAAGCGGCCACCGGGGCGCAGGTGGTCTCGGCGCAGCCTCCTGGGACTGGGGCCAGGAGCGCTGATGGGCAACCCCGCGGGTAGGCCGTGCCCCCTAAAAGCTGAGCATATCTGGGCTTCCCGAGGAATGCTCCAAGCGCAGAGCTCGGTGAGATACTGACCAAATCGTAATCGCAACCACAGATACCAATTACGGAACAATAAAACGGTTAGAAAATACAGCTGATCCGAATTCCGCGGGTGTGTAAACAGCGCTGGGGCGGGCCCGGCTTCTCGGGGTTTCTAAAGCAAGGTGGGCAGGGAGAGGCCAGGCCATCGGGCGCTAAAACCCCACAGGGCCGGGATCAGGCTAAGGCCGCCCGGGGCTGGAGCGCAGGGACCCCCCTCCCCACCTCTCCGGCCCTGCCCCGGGGCTCATGGCGCCGGGCGCGGCGCGCGGCCAACCTGTCAGGCCCGGCCAGGCTGCCCGAGCGCCGGACTCCGGGCGGCGCGGACAAAGAAGGACGCGGGCCGGGGCCCACTCACCCGGCGCGGGGCCTGCTGTCCATCCGCTTCTTCTGGCGCACCGGCTGCAGCGGGATGTTGTCCGTCATGTCGGCGGCGCCGCCCGCCTTAGCTGCCGCGCCCCCCGCGCTGCCTGGGCCGCCGCCCGGTCCGGCCTCCGCGCCGCCGCCCGCCGGCGCCGCGCAGCCCCGGGGGAGGAGGCGGCGGCAGCGGGCGGACCGGGCCCGCAGCGAGGGGGCGAGCTCGCGAGCGCCGGGCCACGCGCGGAGCCGCCCGCGCGGCCCGACCGACGGACACGGGCGCACCATGGGCCCGAGCTCCGCGCTGCGCCCGCTCGCTCCGCGCCGCGCCTGCCTCTGGGGGCGACCCGGCCGTGTCCGCGCCGCCGCGGCCGCCGCAGTATCCCCGCCCCCGGCCCGCGCCGCGCGCCCCCCCACGCGCGCCCACCCGGCCACGCGCCCCCCGCCCACGCCTGCCGTGCGCGCACCCAGCCGCCTCACCCCTTACCCAAATCCTACATTCACAATCACATACCTGCCCTACGCACACGCGCTGTCACACTCATCCCCACCAACATCTGACATGCACAATCACACGGGCACCCGGCCACGCTCACTCCATCAGTCACACTCATTCCCACTCTTGCACCAACTTGCACATTCCGGCGCAGGCCCTACACACGCACACCTGCCGCTGCTCACTACCGGCAATATTCGGCATTCACAATCACAGGTAAGTTCGGCACGCGCACACACACACGCTCACCCTCCCGTTGGTCACCATCATCCATGCACCCAACTTCTCAAGCCTCACACCCATGAGCCCGCAGAAATCAGTCACACAGGGACCCTCGGCTTTTCAGTCTCCCTCACCCTCAATCCTTTGCCATCCTCACCCTCATTCTCTACCTGGATTGTGAGAACTCACCATCACACACACACACACACACACACCGGCCTCTTTCATCCAAACACCCATCAATAATCGGAACACCCTCATTCTCACACCAGGCACCTTCTCTGACTTGCACATGGGCCCCCATCTCAGGACTCAGACACTGTCACCCAGCATTACCCGTCCCTGTGATTCACGCTGTCATACACACACCTATCTCCTTTACCGCATCCCACATCCACAGTCCCTTGCACACTCTCCCACATACTGTCTAGGATCACGAAATTTCCAAAGGCCTGATAAAGTTTTGAGAGCAGGAAAAAAAAAAGTGTGGGAAGGAACAAAATGAAGGAGTTTAAAAATCAGTATGTAAACTGAGCACGGTGGCTCACCCTTGTAATCCCAGCATTTTGGGAAGATGAGGTGAGTGGATCACCTGAGGTCGGGAGTTCGATATCAGCCTGACCAACATGGAGAAACCCCATCTCTACTAAAAATACAAAATTAGCCAGGCATGGTGGTATATGCCTGTAATCCCAGCCTCTCAGGAGGCTGAGGCAGGAGAATTGCTTAAACCCGGGAGGTGGAGGTTGCGGTGAGCTAAGATCGAACCATTGCATTCCAGCCTGAGTAACGAGCAAAACTCCATCTGAAAAAAAAAAAAAATCCATATTTAACTAAAGAGCCTGAAAATGTAATACCATATAAACTAATCTAAAGCTGACTTTTATGTAGTTACATCTAATGACAGATCATGTTGGGTGCGGATGTCATTTCTTTTTCTTTTTGAAATAGCATCTCCCTCTGTCACCCAGACTGGAGTACAGTGGTGAAATCTCAGCTCACTGCAACCTCCACCTCCCGGGTTCAAGCAATTCTCCTGCCTCAGCCACCGAGTGGCTGGGATTACAGATGCGCCACCACCGTGCCCAGGTAATTTTTGTATTTTCAGTAGAGACGGGGTTTCACTATGTTGGCCAGGCTGGTCTTGAACTCTTGACTTTGGGTGATCTGCCCACTTTGGCCTCCCGAAGTGCGGGGATTACAGTTGTGAGCCACTGAGCCCAGCTAATAGCTAACCTTTGATGTGCATTTACATGTGGCAGACGTTGTACTAAGTTCTTTTTTACATGTTTTCATGATTGCACTTATTCCAACAATTTTTTTTTTTTTTTTTTTTTTTTTTTGAGATGGAGTCTCACACTGTTGCCCAGGCTGGAGTGCAGTGGCACGGTCTCAGCTCACTACAACCTCTGCCTCCCAGGTTCAAGTGATTCTCCTGCCTCAGCCTCCCAAGTAGCTGGGATTACAGGCACCTACCAAAACGCCCGGTTAATTTTTTGCATTTTTAGTAGAGATGGGGTTTCACTATGTCGATCAGGCTGGTCTTGAACACCTGACCTCGTGATCCACCCTCCTCAGCCTCCGAAAGTTTTGGGATTACAGGTGTGCGCCACTGCACCTGGCCAATAATTTTTTTTTTTTTAATCAAAGAACTCCCTGTTAACCTTCAAAGGTACTAATACTCTCATATGGAAAGAGAGGGGAAATTGTTGGTGGGTGTTTGTTTGGTTTTTTTTGCCATTTTACTTTCCAAATTTTCTTCAGTATACTTTTATAATCAGAGAAGAAACCCCTTTAAAAAAAAAAAAACTCGCCAGGCGCGGTGGCTCAAGCCTGTAATCCCAGCACTTTGGGAGGCCGAGGCAGGTGGATCACGAGGTCGAGAGATCGAGACCATCCTGGTCAACATGGTGAAACCCCTTCTCTACTAAAAGTGCAAAAAATTAGCTGGGCATGGTAGCACGTGCCTGTAATCCCAGCTACTCAGGAGGCTGAGGCAGGAGAATTGCCTGAACCCAGGAGGCGGAGGTTGCGGTGAGCCGAGATCGTGCCATTGCACTCCAGCCTGGGTAACAAGAGCGAAACTCCGTCTCAAAAAAAAAAAAAAACAAAAAAAAAAACTCATTTTTGTTTTTATTTATATTATTTTTTGAGACAGAGTCTTACTCTGTTGCCCAGGCTGGAGTGCAATGGTGTGATCTTGGCTCACTGCAACCTCTGCCTCCCAGGTCAAGAGATTCTCCTGCCTCAGCCTCCCAAGTAGCTGGGACTACAGGCACATGCCCGACTAATTTTTGTATTTTTAGTAGAGATAAGATTTTGCCATGTTAGCCAGGCTGGTCTCAAACTCCTGACCTCAGGTAATCTACCTGCCTTGGCCTCCCAAGTGCTTGGGATTACAGGCATGAGCCACCACGCCTGGCCATTTTTATTTTTAGAGACAGGGTCTTGCTCTGTTGTAGCTGGGACTACAGATGTGTACTACCATGCCAGGCTAATTTATTTAATTTTTTTTTGTAGAGACAAGGCCTCACTATGTGGTCTAGGCTGGCCTTGAACTCCTGGGCTCCAGCCATCCTCCTCCCTTGGCCTCCCAGTGTCCTGGGTGTGAGCCACTGCACCAGGCCAAGACTCCTCTTCAGCAAGGTAATCCCTCAGAAAAGGAGACACTCACAGGCTTTAATCTCACCCTTGAGAGAAAATCAGATGCCTGCTTGGGACAGGCGAGACACCCAAGGGGATCAACAGAGCGGTGCCAGGGTCTGGGAGAGGAGCAGGCCTGGGGGCAGCAATGGGATGTGAGAGGTTCATCTGAGGTCCCCTTCTGGGGACGCAGCACCTCTCTTCCTGACACAGCACAGCCTTCTCCCCAGGAATGGTCACCTGATGGCTCTGCTTCCTCAGGGAAAGCCCCTTGCAGAGGTCCCTGACAACCCTCTCCATCCAGCAGGCTCTGGGTACAGTACACCCCTGACTCCTAAGTACCTGGAGTGGAAAGGTCCTGGAGAGATAAGTCAATCTAGTCCGACTTCTACTTTCCAGAATTCAGAGAGCCTGTGGCCCACAGAGGTCACATCACATGCCTCTATGTCATATGCCATCCATAGCTGGTGAGTGCCAGGCTGGAGCTGGAATATATCTTGAAACTCTCAGTTTGGCCCACGATGAAGCCTATAAACCTCCAAGCCCACTGCTGCTTTATTTTTTATTTATTCATTTATTGGGAGACAAAGTCTTGCTCTGTCGCCCAGTGGTGTGATCTTGGCTCACTGCAACCTCCACCTCCCAGGTTCAAGCAATTCTCCTGCCGCAGCCTCCCATGTAGCTGGGATTAATGGTGCCTGCCACCATGGCCAGCTAATTTTTGTATTTTTAGTAGAGACAGTTTTTCGCCATGTTGGCCAGACTGGTCTCGAACTCCTGGCCTCAGGTGATCCACCGCCTCAGCCTCCCAGAGTACTGGGATTACAGGCGTGAGCCACTGTGCCCTGCCCCCACTGCTACTTTAAACCTGTTGTAAAGAAGGCATTTGGTAAGTGGGCAAGAAGTCAAGGGTAAGGGCAGTGATGAGAGAGGAAGGAGGCAGGGAAAATGGGAATAAATAATAAATATGCTTTGAGAAAACTCAGGCTGGGAGTGAGAAAATAAAATCCTTTTAGTGCCTACAATGCTGTCCCCATGAATTCTCTCTGAATAAACATTCTAGGTATCCTCCAACACAGTCTCCCTACACTATTGACATTTGGGCTGAATATCTATCATGGCAGCTGTGCTGTGCATTACAGGACATTTAGCAGCATCCTCGGTCGCTACCAACTAAATGCCAGTAGCTGCCTCACACCAGCTGTGACAACCACAAATGTTTTCAGACATTGTGAAATGTCTCCTGGGGGACAAATTGGTTAAGAACCACTGGGCTAGAATGTGATGTTAAATCATTTTAAAATTTCTAATAAGACTCTGTGTGTGTGTGTGTGTGTGTGTGTGTGTGTGTGTGTGTGTGTGTGTTTTGAGACGTTCTTGCTCTGTTGCCCAGGCTGGAGTGCAGTGGCACGATCTCGGCTCACTACAACCTCCACCTCCCAGGTTCAAGTGATTCTCCTGTCTCAGCCCCCTGAGTGGCTGGGATTACAAGTGTGCACCTCCGTGCCTGGCTAATTTTTGTATTTTTAGTAGAGATGAGATTTCACCATGTTGGCCAGGCTGCTCTTGAACTTCTGGCCTCAAGTGATCCTCCTGCCTTGGCTTCCCAAAGTGCTAGGATTACAAGCCTGGCATGACCCACCATGCAAAACTAACTGTGTCTCTCTCTAACACTTACCAATCCAATCCTCTCCCAATCCTTTATTTATCTTCTTTTTGTTTTGTTTTGTTTTGTTTTGTTTTGTTTTGTTTTGTTTTGTTTTTGGAAAGAAAACGTCTTAGGTTGAGAACTTTTCACAAGCAACAGTATCTAGCTAAAATTTAATAATATTCTGGGCTGGGTATGTGTTTTTGAGATAGGGTCTTGCTCTGTCCAGCCCAGGGTGGGGTGCAGTAGTATGAGCAAGGCTCACTATAGCCTTGGGTGCTCAGGCTCAAACTATCCTCCCACCTCAGTCCCCCAAGAA